ACGTTTGCGACCTCGCCAAGATGAAATCGGCGATTCAGATTCGACTCATCATTCGAGCACTCGCCAAATATCGACCTGCCTCCAGTGCAGAGAAACAGTATATGTCCAACCAGCATTCGTTTTCCTGTCCGCGATGCCAGTCAGGTTAGTGAATCACATGTGCGGCCTCGGCAAGGAGAGGAGCAATGGTGAGTGCGACATCACGAACTATTTCTCTCTTCTCATAATGACCCTAGGTTCTCAAGATCTCAAGCTCACGAGTAATCTAGATGCTACAAGATAATTAATTATTTTTTCTGACATATTTATTCTGAGACAGTCGCAGTCGAGCATTGCAAGCTGTTCAATGGCTGTCCCACCTGGTGAGCGAGTTACATACCATCATGGGTTCACATGCTCTTAGTGAGTTTTAGTGCGTCTACTTTTTTTCTTTCGGCTTGCCTTGCGTTATGAGACGAAGGCCGAGGTTGCTAGGTTGCCGATGTCCCTGATCCGCGGCATAAGAGGCTCGCGTTGGATCCGCGCTGACCGTGCCTGACATCTCTTCCCAGCATGTCCCCCCCTTCTACCGCCCATTGGCCTTTAAAATGTGACATATCCTGTTTCCGCGGAGACATTATTTGCAGCCTTCCAAGTATCTTTATTTTATTTTATTTTATTTTATTCGCGTGGGGACAATAATCTTGTGCGAGAGCACCATGATCGGCAGACCACGGCTTTCCAACCCAGACCTCGACTTTGCCATCTGTTTCAACATTTTCCAATGTCCTGCGCCCGCCGTCATGGCTGCCCCTTCTGGAACGCTGCCATCAAGACAACCAGAGGCGCTTTGCGCTAAGGCAGACTACCTAGAAAATCACGCTGCTTCGGCGATCGGTTCCGCGGGAAGAGAAGCGAGGAGGAGGCAGAATTAGGGCCTGAAAAGTGGACTCATATAAAAGCTGATTCACGAGCCTCACTTTTGTAATCCGCATCCTTCTCTCAGCGTTGACACGCTCGACAAAGGCAACAATGAGCCCGGAGCTCCTGAGAACCGTGGACATTCTGCTGGGCACTTCAGCGTTGATTATCCTCTGCCAGCTGCTCAACCGCCTGATAAAGCAAGCACGCCTTCCGTACCCGCCAGGCCCACCGGGGTATCCGATCATCGGTCACTTGAGCACTCCTAAAGACCCAGGCTGGGTGGTCTATCGTGACTGGAGTCAGCAATATGGTACGCGAAGCAAGCTGTTTGGCGTACAGAAGAGCACGACTGACACAGTTGTTCCATAGGTTCGGACGTCATCCACCTCAATCTAGCTGGGAATCACCTCCTCGTGCTTAACAGTATTCAGTCGTGCAGAGACCTGCTGGAGAAGCGGTCAACCATCTACTCCGACAGGTGAGCCTTACGCCTGGCGTCTTTCTTTGCCGCTCACATTCACGCCCGTGGCAGGCCGACAGCAGGCATCACGATGATCGCCGAACTGTAAGTGCCGACTAGCCTGCTCAAAGTCTCTCGAGCTGACGGTGCGGCGCAGGTGCGGACTCAACTGGAGCTTTGGACTGAAGAGCTACGGCCCCGAATGGCGCGCCGGTCGCAAAGCGTTCCAGTCCGTGTTCCACGCGGGCGTGGTGCATAAACACCGTCCCACCCTCACGCGCGAGGTAAACCGCTTCCTACGCCGGGTGTGCACAGACCCCAAGGAGTGGATCAATCATCTCCACCTGTGCGTGCATCTTGTGTCCTGGTCTGGAGGCCGAGTCTGACCGCGTTGGCGCAGGATGGCCGGCGGGCTCATCGTGTCGGTTGCATACGCTATCGACATCAAGGACAAGAACGACCCGTATCTGACAAACGCAGAGCATTCTTTAGAGGCTGTCAGGAAGACTTTGATTCCTGGTGCATACCTGGTTGATATCCTTCCTTTTTGTGCGTCCCGCTTCTCTCCTGTGCCACACGAAGCGCTCACCCTGTCTCAGTGAAGCATGTACCAGAATGGGTTCCAGGAGCAGGATTTCAACGCGAAGCAAAGGAGTGGCGTAAATCTATCATGTATGTCTTGCATGTACCGTACAATGCCGTGAAGCAGCGTATGGTGAGTATCAGGGATCGCTCGTCTGCATGAACGATACAGACAAATCATGCTAGGTGGAAGACCCTGCGACTGCGCCCGACTGCGTCACAAAGACCCTGATAGAGCGCATGATCAACACAGCGAAAGATCCCGAATACATGGAGGATGTCGTTAAGTCAGCAGTCGGGTCGATGTATCTCGGTATGTCCTTCCCTCCACGTACAATATCTATTTTTTTTGAGATAATATGATACAGCCGGGGAGGACACGGTTTGTTCCCTTCTCTAGGTTTCCACGTTTATTTGCTTACCATCATACCGCAGACGCACTCGGTTATCATGTCGTGCATCCTCAACATGGTGCTCTATCCCGACATTCAAAGGCGCGCGCAAGAGTCCATCGATGAGGTCTGCCAGGGCCGCCTCCCGGACTACTCAGATTATGATAAGCTGCCGTTCGTGCATGCGCTCTTACGCGAGAGCTTGCGATGCAATCCAGTGGTCGCCTTGAGTGCGTCTCCCCTTACTCTCCATCACGAAGTGCAGCTAATCGAAGAGCCGAAGATCTTCCACATAAAAGCACCGACGACGACATTTACAAAGGCTATTTCCTTCCCAAAGGCTCGATCGTCGTCGCGAACATCTGGTGCGCCGCTCCCACTTGCTCACTTAGCCCCCCTAATACATTCGCAGGTCGATCCTACACGACCCGACAGTCTACTCCGATCCGACAGCCTTCAACCCAGAGCGCTTCCTGCGCCGCACGCCCGACGGCGAGCTCGAGCTCGACCCAGACATGCCAAACCCGGCGGACGTCGCCTTTGGCTTCGGCCGCCGCATCTGCCCGGGACGGTTCATGGCGTACCAGTCCGCGTGGCTCACGACCGCGAGCACCATCGCCGCGTTCCGGATCGAGAATGCGAAGGACGAGCGCGGGGTGCCGATCGCGCCGAGCGGCGAGTACTTCTGGGGCTTCACAAAGTAAGCATTCTCTTCCGGAGAAGAGCTTGGAGGGATGGCTGACGTTGGGCATGTGCCGTCTAGCCACCCGAAGCCGTTCGAGTGTGCAATTCGCCCGCGATCGAAGGAGCACGAGATGCTCATC